GTGTGTGTGCGTGTACCTATGTGTATTTAGCGATGCATAAAAGTGTGCAAAAAATACAAATAATAACAAAAATATAAAATCGTTGTTGACAGCGTGGCATTACGAAATCATGAAGAGAAAATATGAACGCAAGTGAAAATTTTACACTGCGCTAAAGTGTGATTTTTAAATAAAAATACGTACAAAGGTGGACAAAAGATTGCCCAAAATTTATTAAAGCATATAATTAAAGGTTGTTTCACCTGAAAAAGTGAGTCAAGGTGACAAAGTGAACAAGTGGAAAAAAGAGAGAATGAAATCAAAGTACACGCAAAATGTATTGCAAGACAAAGAAAATTCAAAAAGTAAATTACGGAAAATAATGTGATCTTCATAGTTGCAAAGTAAATTAGAGTAAAATAAAATTAAAAAAAAAAAATTAATATATTAGAAAAATAAAATTGAAGAAAATAAATAAAAAATTAAAATAATAAACAACAAAATACTTTAACATAAAATTACCAAAATAAATAAAATAAATTAAAAAAATGAAATAGAAAAGAACAAAATAAAAATAATAATAATAATAATAATAATAATAATAAAATAAAATAAAATAAAATAAAATAAAATAAAATAAATTTAAAAAAAATAAAATATAATAAATTAAAATAAAATAAAATAAAATAAAATAAAATAAAATAAAATAAAATAAAATAAAATAAAATAAAATAAAATAAAATAAAATAAATTAAATTAAATTAAAATAAATTAAATTAAAATAAAACAATTTAAATAAAATAAACTGAAACAAAATAAAACAATTTAAATAAAATAAACTGAAACAAAATAAAATAATATAAAATATAAATTAAACTAAATTTGATAAAGTAAAGTTAAATAAAGAAAAACATGAGATTCAATAAAGTAAATTAAAAATGTAATAAAACATATTTATTTCATAAACTAAAGGAATTTTAAATAAAATCAAATAAAAAAGAGACATTCTTGAAAAAAATATGATTTTAAACAAAACAAAAATCTTAATGTAAAGCACAGAACACAAATGAAAGAAAAATAGAATAAAAAATGTAAAATGAACTAAAAAAATTTAAAAATATATGTATGTGAAATAAGGAAAACTAAGATAAAATTATTAAACTAAAATAAATCAAAACTATTTCAATTTTTATTTTATTTGATTAAAAAAAATTAAAGCCGAAAAAACTAAACAAAATAAGACAGCCTTGAATAAAATTAAGTTAAGTACAATAAAGTAAAGTAAAACAAGAAAACAAAAATAAAATTCTCTCGGATTTTTGATCCCAAAAATCCAAGTTCGAAATAATTTATCTTTAAATTAGGAGCGAAAGGTAAAACAAAGTAACACCTGATGATTTTAAAGTTTGCCGGAAGAGTTTCCCAATGATTGACTTAATTTAAAATAGTACACTTGTAATATTAATAAACAAACACATGTCTTATTGTCACTTTTGTGCTGTGAGTGATGTACTTACTGTCTAGTTGTCACATAAAAAATTGCCACACGACAACGCGACAAAGTTGTCAGCGTCCATGTTCAACAGTAAGAGTGAACAAACTTTGATGTTAAGTGAAATGTTACATAAAAAATGAAGCATACAAGTGAAAAAATCTAAATAGAGGAAAGAAAAAAAGGTTAAGCTCAAAATACCCCCTTACTATACTAAATAGGATAGTTTTAGCAATAAAGAACAAGCAGATAACTGCAAATAGAAAATAAACAGTGATTATATATTTTTTGCAACAACAATGAGAGTTTAAACTTTCTACATTTCGCGGTATTTTAATAAATATAAATATTTAGAGAAAAATGAGTTAATAAAAGATATATATATATATTGCTTTTCCCAGCGTTGCATTGCTTTTTGTGTGGGGCTACGCGAAGTAATGTGTACATGGGGATAAACCTCGTAACTCTTGAGCACTAGAAAAGCAGTACTCGTCTCCCTAAGGCTCTGATACCGCCCAATATGTGCAAAAAAGTAATCGAAAAAAACCTCAAATGGATCAAAGCTAATGAAAATTCGCAAGGTGGTCATTTGAATGATTTCAATGCCCTAGTTCAGACTTTGTAATAATAAAATTTTATGAAATTATTTCAAATGCATTTTATTTTCGAAAACGCAAAATGGATAACCTTGTGTGAGGAGAATGAAAAGTTTATTTACTCTGAAGTGGAGTTTTGGCTAAGCTCAGGTGCGACTATTATGTGTCTTATTACATATTTATATATGATTGGCGGCTCTTCCTCCTCCTTCTCCTTTTTGAGGGGGCGTCTTGAAGTTTGCCCCATAAATGGAGGTATCTGCAGTTTATTTTGAGCTGCAGCCAAAGCGGTAAAGGATTTTTAAGTGAAGCTTTTTTCGTTAATGTCAGAAATATACACGGAGGAGTTGACAGTCTCTGTCTAGGCTCGACCGCAGTTACAAAAATTAATTTTCTAAATTTTTTTATTTTGGTCAGACTCGAACCCTTGCCTACCAAATTGAGACCTTGAGATGTGTTAACCCTCGACTCCACGATTTCACTTACGGTTTTGTATAATAAAATATTTTCCTATTAGAAATCTGGTAGAGACGGGTCGTGAAAGTAAAGCACTTTTCGGGCGTCGTGAAACACCTTGTCGGACGGAATAATGAAATTGGTGAAAAAAATGGAGCTTTTGGGACAAGTTAGTGATTTGAAGAATAAAACACGTTCACGTCGCTCAAGAGCAACTGAGATTTTTGCTGCTGTAGCTCAAAGTGTTGAAAAAAATCAAGGCTTGTCAGTTCCTCGTCATTATTTAAAACGTTTGAGCATTCCATCATCGTCGTCTCATCATATTTTGCATTAAGACGTAGATTTTAAGGCTTATATAGTCCAGTTAACACAAGAACTTAAGCAGTTCGTTCATCATCTACATCGTCTTTTTGCTGATTGGGTCCTTGGAATGCATGAAAATGGTACGTAGTTACATTGAAAAATCCTCTTGACTAACTGAAACCCATTTTTACCTCGATGGCGACGTCAACATGCAAATCTATTGCATCTTTGGCTCGGAAACCCCAAGATTTATATACTAGAGGTCTAGATACCCGTGTATCGAGCACTGTGAGCAGCTGTACGTGTGTACTCGCTCGATTCTCGTTCGATTCTCGTTCGATACTCATTCGTTACTCTTATGTTAGTTTGATATTTTTCAAACTCCAATTTTTTTTGTCAAAATTTCTTTATTATTTCAATGAGTTTAACACTTTGCATAAAAAAGAGTAAAATTTTTTATTCAAAATTGCTTAAAAAAGCTCGAATTGCTCGAGCTCAAGCTCGAACAAAATCTTGAGCTCTAAAATAAACTCACATTTAAGGCAAATTTACACATGGGAGTAGCAAGAATACAAATATAAAAATTTCAAATATTTTGTTTGTGTAATCGTAGTTTCGAAACGTCAAAAACGAAATTCGTTGAATATATCTTGTTGGTGTAATAAAAAGTATGTAATGTCAAAACTTATTTCTCATGTATTTTGTTCGTGTAATTTGTTGCAATGGAAGGAAGAACAAGCAAACACATGATATAAAATTCACCTTGCTCACATTCATGATGAAATAATATACGGGTGAGGTAAGTAAAGAATTGCCCCTCTCCCACACGCTGCCTTAGCAAAAGATGTTGCTTTTATAGAATTATGTTGCCGCATTTAAATAAAAATCTTACAGAAATGGGTGTACTTAAAGTTTTCCATCATTGAAAAGAGTAGACATCACTGCAGATCTTTCAATGGTTGTTAAAATGATGAGCTGCTTCCTTTTGGCCAAACGCTTAGTGTGTCCCTCTACTGCCAACAAATAGACCGCTTGAAGGCAGCATTCATCGAGAAGTGAGCATCTTTGATCAACAGAAGCCGAATTTTGTTCCATCAGGACAACGCCAGGCCCACAAGTCTTTGGTAACCCATTCATTACCAAATTAGACCAAATTGTAAGGAATCCAGACTATCAATTGTATAGAAATAAATTGGAATTTGTATGAAAGCAATTCTTACTATCGTATTAAGCAACTTACACTGAGATGCGAATAAGATTCTCCGTCTTCATAAATGTCATTTACGGCTCGTTAAACTGCCTTCACCACATAGTCGTAAAGCGATGTTCGAAGATTGATTTAAACTGAATTTAAAAGAGGTGTTCTTATCCCTTCAAGAGCATCTAGAGCCCTTCTATTGTGTTCGTGCAAAAGCAATGTTTGAGCAAAGATTTTAATACTCATTCCATTAGTTTTGATTCCTCCAAGCCTTATTTATGCATCAAAAACTAATTTATAGCAGCTGCTGAGCACTGAACTGTAGCTGCTTAGTGTAAGAAGCAAATATAACCGCGTCCTTCCGTCATCGATCTCGAATACGGGCGCGACCAACATCCAAAATTATAGAAAATCCTAATAAAAAAAATTAACTTAATTTTTTCTATTTGCGATCGTCATTCGACTGGGAATGCCAAGCCCTTCAATTGTCTTTCTGGCATAAAATAAAGGCTTCTCATAAATATTTGTCAGTTGTTTTCGAGTTAGCTTAGAACTAAGTCAAGATCCCTGCATTTGATGGGAAAATATCAAAACGCACATCAAAAATATGATGAGGAAGTCGGCTGAAAAACCACTCAGCAGTTAAAAAGCCCCAACTAATCAAATAAGGTTTGAAAACATTTTAAAAAAATAATTTGTTATCTTCGATACTTAAATAAGTCTCCCTGAAACTCCCGATTTTTCGTTCTATCTTCCCCTCTCTCTTCAAATTCGAAAACACAACGTTGAGCTAAGGCAGCGTCCAAGTCTCCCTCTACTCCACTTACCTCGCCTGTTTATTATTTCATCATGACTCACATTATGGAATGCATTCGATTTTATGATGAAAACTTATGGAAGTCAATACTTTTCTTTATAATGCAGTTTAACTTCTGTAAATTAATAATCTCAATATTTGCTTTTCTTTTCATTTCATTTCAGTTACATCGGAAAAATGAAAAATAAAAAAGTAAAAACTCAAAACAATTAAAAACGATTCAGTTAAAAACCAACTGCCACATAATAGAAGAACTTGCGGACCTCGTGGAATGCCGAGCTGTTTTGAAAATGACAAAAACAACACATTTACATAGCATTACATTTGTGAAACACGAACCCGCGCACTGTCAAGGCGACAGACTGTGAAATCATACGGTTGTTTTCAGCATGAGAGAAGAAAAAAGCGGTAAACAAAAGCAAAATTAGAAAAAACGAAAATATAAAAAAAAAATGATTTTTTTCGAAACGCAGACGCGAAATTAAGAAAAGAAATTTGATAAAAAAAATAGAATAAAACAACAAAAACTCAAAACAAAATCCACACACATCCTGTGCATATGCGTGCTAGTGTGTGCCATTATATGAGCGTTTATACACCGTTAAATGCCGTGATATGCTGCGCGTGGGCATAACAATCGGGCAGCGTTGCATTGCCTGTCGCCCATTTGAATGGAATGAAGTGGAATGTGCGTGTGCGTGCGTGTGTGTGTTGTATGTGTGTGTGTGTGCAATAAATAGCAAGAAACAAATAGCGGAGGAAGGTAAAAATTAGAGAAGCAAAGAAAAAGTGAACTTTTTTCTTCTATTCAGAGAATATGAAACCAGCAGGCCGCCAGTAAACTTTGCGCCTCCACGTGCAATTTGCTTATTCTACATATTCTTCTGCTTCGTCTTATTCTTCTACAAATTCTTACTTTCTTTGCCATCACTTTTTACCCTTTCGCTATTTAATTCCGCTGCTTCGATGTTTTGTGACGCGCTTATGCAAACGACAGCGTTGCTGTTGCTGCTGTGACTCCAACAACAATAATCACTATTAAATGCTTGTCCTTGCGCATATTTCCTTTTGTTGTTTTTTTATATTCTTTTGTTTTGTTTTTTTTTTTGTTGGTTTTGTTTGCTCTTCAAGTAAATACAAGGCGAATGCAACGAATTTAAGACGCGCAATTTAAGTGTACGGTAGATTTGTTGTGGCACGTGAATACATATATGCATATACATACATACATATATACATACATACATACTTGTACATAGAAACATACGTGTATATGTGAGTACGAGTTGGTAGGTGGAATAGCAATAAACAGCTTTTGTGGCGACTGGTGAATAAGAAAAATGGAAAAATCATAAAAAAGGCAACCGCCATGCATGCATTGGCACAAACGTGTGTATGTGTGTGTGTGTGTGGGTGCATTAAATTTTTGAAGCAAAAGTTTTGTGCAAAAGTAATAAAAAATTAATGTCGTGAATAGCGGAATAAAATTATTGTTCGAATCTCGGTTGGCAGAGGAAACGTAAAAAATTAAATTGGCAATAATCTTATGGAGAGAATACAATTTTTAAATAACAATAAAAGAATAAAAAAATTTAAATTTGTAAGAAAACAAAAAAAATATAAATATTTAATTAATAATTTTTTTTAATGAAAAATACCATTTCTTAAGCCAAACGATCGTTGCTGTAAATTTGTGAAGAAAATACTTGTTTTTTTTTTATTTAAAGTGATGTATACTTGAAATAAATAACAACAAAAACTTAGTGAATTTAAAAAGCAAAAAAAAAAAAATAAAACAAAAATTTAACAAAACCAAGAATTAAAAAAAAATTAGCAAGCAACAACACTGTTTCGAACACTAAACAAATTTACATTTAAAACAAATAAATATTTAAATATATTAAAAACCAAATAAATAAATTCTAGTTTCAAAGTTAACTTCAAAACGCACAAATCCGTATTCGTCTTCACGGCAAAAAAAAATGTATAAAAATTCAACAATATGTTGAAAAAAATTCCGAAAAGTTACTGCAATGCAATTCGAAATGCAAATGAAAGTGTAAAAACATTTAACTCAATTATTTGTAAACATGAAAATATCTACATACATCTGTATGTATGTAAGTAAAGTCACAAAGTAATTATCATAAATTAAGTAAATATAGAAAAATTACTAGCTAATTGACTAAAAAAATGTTTCGGTTTGTCAAATGTTCGTAATAAACACTATTTCAAGTGTACGTAAGTGCGAAAGATGTGGCATAGCAAACAAAAAAAAATTAATTAACAGAAATTTAGCATAAATGTAAAATGCACAACAAGTATTTATAGCACACAAAAATTAGGCGAAATTTTGCAGAGTAAGGTAAGTGATGTGAATAATTTAGTTATATATAAAAAAAAAACTATTTTAAACAATATTGTATACTTAAATTAAAAAAAAAAAATATTTTTTTTTTATTTTTATGCTTGGATGCAGTTTTTTTGAAATACAACACGACCAACAGCGTTTTTGTTGCATAATTTTGAGAGCATTATAGTTTTTTTTGTTTAATAATACTAAAACACATTCTTTTGACACCGTCAAAATTATTATGATAAAAAACATTTGAAGAAAACTTTTAAAATTCTAAAGAAGTACTGTACCATACCCATATGCGTGAGCCGATAAATTCGGCTGCAACAAGGTATTGGAATGAGACTGTAACACAAATTTGTATATCACCATGTACTTAGAGTTACAAAGCCTTGGTCTGCTGCCTCCTTCTGTTGTGACTACCTTAAACTTACTTGTGTGCTTACGCTAAAGATTCTCCGAACGCAGTTTTTTTAAATCAAAAAGTGATTTTCCCAGGTGTTTGTACAAAAATTAATTATTAATTGAAAGTAAAATGTTGTTTCTAATACAACGAAAGTGTAAATTCCATTAAGAATAAGCAAAAAATATATGTTTAAAGGTTGCCCTTGAGGGCATAGTACGATTTCAGTTGACAAAATGTTGCTCATACGACATGACAAACTTTTGATTTTTAGGTTAAGCATTTTTATATTTCAATACCAAAAAAAGTGCTTATAAGCCATACCGTTCTGCCGTCACCTTAGGTACTTTTATGAAACATCTAATAAATTCAACTTTTTTATAAGCAAGCTTTTCTCTCGCATTACCTTTTCCTCCGATTTCCCTTCCGAATGATGTGAGAATCATGTATATTTCTTCAGGAGTCAAGCCAAATCCTCTAACGGGTGATCCAAGTAGAGATACTTTTTTAATAGCTTTTTTTCGACATATAAGGCGTATGTTGGGTCAAGCTGTCATGTTATTTTTGTTCAGGGGAAGACCTACGCCTAAGCAACGTTTACAAATATTTCAACTTTATTACGAGAACTCACGTTCTGTAAAGAATGTCGTTTGTGCGATTCGTTCAACTTATGGTCAACATTATCCCATTAACCCATCCTGATACACAGCATTCATAATTAGATAATATTCGACCGAATAGACCACGCTCAGCACACAGCGCAGAATATTGCGGTCGTAGCTGAGAGTGTACACGAAAACCATGGGAAGCCGTTCGCAGCAATTCGAACTGACTGACGACTGGAACGACTTAACGCATTTTATGTCGAGAAATTAAATTGAAAACATGAAAAATTTCGCTTCTGCAAGCACTGAAGTCGCTTGATCATGCCAAGCGATACCGCTCCACTCTACGAACTCTTGAAAACTTCCAAGGAGATCCGGCGCTTTCGAGCCAAATATTGTTCAGCGATGAAGCTCATTTCTGGCTCAATGGTTATGTAAACATGCAAAATTGTCGCGTTTGGGACGAAGACCAAGCTATTCAAGAGCTTCATTTTATCCAGAAAAAAATAAACGATTTAGTGTGGTTTGTGGACCGGTGGAATCAGCGGACCATACTTCTTCAAAAGTGATGCCGGTGAAAACGAAACCATCAACGCGACCATTATAACGCCATGTCTGAAATTGAAGCTTGTGATCTCGGCCGCTTTTGGTTTCAACAAGGCAAGAGCATCGTATCAATCAATGGATTTAATGGGAAAACACTTCGGTGAGGAGATAAGTTCACACTTTGGCTACCAAGAAGATGTGATATCACACTGTAAGAGATTTTTCTTTGGGGATATGCGAAGTCTTAAGTCTATGCAGACAATACCACTTCTATTCAATGCTCAAACGAGTCATCAAAAATTAGACTCAACAGATGAACTATCTGAGACGTAGCTCCGGCATAAATTTGAAAAAGATAATCAGTATAAAATAAAGCCGAAATAATGTTTTCTTGAATGATAATAAACATTCCGTACTAAATTTAAATTTTCTGTGCTTTTTTTTTATAAAAAAGTAGGGAGCATTGAAATGGATCACCCTTTATAATTCCTGAATTTTTATTTACAATATTCTAGTAAAGTTATTGCGAATTGCTAATTCAGAGCTAAGAACCTTTGATTTTCTTAAATAAATAAAAATAAGGACTCAAAAATTTATATTTTGTTGCCTAATTTTAGGGACAACTTTTTTATTTTCATAAAATTAAATATGTTTGAGCCCAGAATACTGAAAAGTGTCATGCTAAGAGGTAAATAGTTTGAAGCAGTTACCCTATACTATAAGTTTGCTTACCACGCATTGACACAAAAAATATTAAAAAATAAATAAATAAAATTCGATACACTAGAATTTTTTATATGAAATTCTCAGCCAGTTGTGTGAAATGTAGGCAATTTTTTCCACAATTTTTTATACTTTCTTTCAATCTATTGTGTATTTATGACATATAACGGGACGGGACTGATAACTGACAATTGGGTGGAGATACTTTTTGTTTCAGGCCCTAGCTTATGCCAAGACTTATCGGATATTTAGTTGAGTTCTTACCGATCTCTGGTAATGTATTTTACATAAGGACCTCACTGTGTATGCCAATGAATCGTTATATAGTGAAAATTCATACACGCCTGGAAAATATGCTGAAATGACTATTTTTGGGCATGAAAGACTTTTCTTCAATCAAGGCATTTAATTTGATAGATTTTAATACGAAAACATAGTCACTGTTAAATGTGAACTGATATAAGATCTAAGCATCACAGCGATAAGTTGCTGCTGAATGCAAGTTTTTTGTCCTAGCTTATCCTCCTGAACCTTAATTTTTTCACACTTTTAACCTAGTCGCAACGAAAGTTTGGAAGCGCCCAAAAGTATGCAATTGAAATTCGTTGCCTACATTTGGGAGTTTATATAAAATATTACTTATACGTTAAATAACTTAATAACACAAAACTAATTAAATCAAAATGTAATTAAATTATTGACTACCGAATTTGGGTAAAAATAAAAAAAAGCTTCGATTAAATATTTTTAAAATTAATTTTTCTTTTTTTTTTAAATTTCAAACTAAGAAAAGATTACAATCTTCCATTCGAAAAATAGTTTTTGTTTGCAATATTTCACTTAAAAGCAAAAAGCAAGCAGCAAAACAATAAAGCTACGCTGAAAATGCAACAATAAAGCACTGCACTGCTAATGATGGCTACGCAGTTGAGCAATTAAAATGCGATGACCTTAAAAACAGACAAAGCAAAAGTCAATAATAAATGGCTCGCTGGCCTGTGGCGGTGAACAGGACCAAAAGGCAAGCAGGCAGGCAGCAAGTAGTGGCCTGGAAAAGGTCGACCACAACAAGCAACAATCAAGTAGCGCAGCGACAACAACAGCAGCAGCAGCAGTGACGACAGCATAAAGTGCAGCGATGTCAATAGTAAACAATCTCGCCAAACATTGTATGAAACAAGAGAACAATGCAAGTGGGCAGTAAAAATGAGTACGAAAAAGCGAGAATAAATGGGCAAATAAAAAAAATATAAAATAAAAGTAGAAAAGCATAAAAATGACCAATAATTCAGCAAGCTGCAGTGCACAACAAGTGTAGAAAATATAAAGAAAAATTAAAAAAAAATTATAAATTTAAAACACAACGTCAATTGTGGTCTCACTCTGTTACACATATTTATTTTTTCACATCTTTCTTTTTCGACCTCTTTTGACTGCATTATTGTGCTCGTTTCCTTCGATGCTCATGCTCATTATCATTACCAATGCCATCATAAACATCACAGCTCCAACCGCTCCATGCCACATGCCACATGCAACAACAAACAACAGCAACCACAACAACAAAAACAGTAAAAAGCAACTGTAACAAACGGCACAACAATAAACAATGGTCAGAATTTGTCCATTGTCCTGCGCCGACTAGGCTGTGAGCGAGTGCGGGAGCTAGAAAAGAATATCTTTTGTTTTGTTTTGCTTATTTGCGGTTCAAGTTTCCACAAAACAAAGCAAAACAAAGCGAAAGAATTTTTCTTTTTAATGAAACTACAAAAATGAATATTTTTTGTTTGTTTTTCATTTTGCAGCAAATGAGCAATCGAAAGTGAAAGCTAAACAAACAAAATCGAGGAGCCGTAAATATATGAGGGAAAGGAAAACAACAACAACAACAACAACAAATTTGCAATAATTTCGAAGTGAAAGAAATAAAAAAGTCCAAAGAGGTCAACAACAAATGGCCACAAAATTATGGCCAAGTTAAGTGCCGTTAAGCGGCAAGAACAACAGCAACTAACAGGAGCAGCAGGAGGAGGAGGAAGAGGATGAAGTCATAAGGCAGAGGAAAAAGAAAACAATGTGGCTAAAGTGGCCTGCTTGGGTTCGAGCGGTTGAATGAAAAATGCCAAATATAGGCAGTCCATTCATGCGCATGCTGTGTGAGTATGTGTGTGAGTGTGTATGTGTCCGATGTGGTGTTGGGTAGTAATGTGAGAGCGGGTGATGAAAAGTCAACAATCCATAGTCTGATTTGACCCAAACACTGTGTTTGCGCTTGAGTGACGCGCTTTCGTGATTCGAAATGCGATAATGTGGTAAGGCAATAATCGACTAGGGGAATGGCTGGTGATGCCGCAAGACAAACACTTCATAGGCGGGAAGAACAAAGTAGCAAGGATCTAACTTTCAGCTAAAGTGATGCAACCGAAATGAGCTTCGTAACCTTTGGGCCATTGCTGGAGGGAATTCGTAAATAAACAGGATTGAAACATCCTTATACCGAGTACCTAGAGAACCGGAGAAAAATGAAAGAGCTCCGCAGAAATACTTTAATCAAGATTTTCCCGGCTAAAAAAGCTTTGAATCCATACAAACAATAGCGGATTTTCTTGATAGATGCCCCAGAAGAAGGGTTTACTGAGAGAGAGAGGAAGGGTGGCAGAAAGACTCCGTGTAAAGGACAACAAGTTATCAGGATCAACATCAAAACAACTAATCATCATTTCTTTTTTAAA